CATAGGCCTATGTTTAGGCAACTTTGGCTAGGCTTAAGTGATGGTACTCTGTCAGCCTCTCAGCTAGAAGAAAAATGAATAACCAAAATAAATTTGTCAAATCATATTGTGTTCGTTTTTTTAAGTTGACCCTTGATGTGGCTAGCATAGGGCCTAGGCCTACTGAAGGTCAGTCCAGATTGGTAGGCCTAGCTAGGACGTCAATTTGTTTTTGAAATTGACAATCCACGCTCCCTGTTTAATTATACAGTACAGTAACTTGAATTTACTTGGCCTACCTATACGACAGCAGTACTGCTACTCTAGTCCATACCATGTTGAATAATATGTTCCACCATTTTAAATTATAAATTCCATTGAAACAATGAGCCAATTGCATTGAAAATTATAACATTATATGTAACAATGTTGCTGGAGGTTTGCGCAAGTGTCACAGGTCCCGCTGAACTTCTTTGTCAACAGTATACTGTACAAATTTCTCATATTTTAATGTCAATACAGTAATTAATGCATTCAATTCAAATCAGTTTTTATTAATCATTAACCCTATTTATTATCATAGATTTTCTGGGTTTGAAATTGAGCCGTAAGTTGGTAAAATATTAAAAAAAAATATATTTTTTTTTATTTGATGCTGATCGTCATTAAAACCCCACAAAAACCCAATGTTCTGTGACCAAAATAATTGGAGATCACCTTAGAAGTTCAAAAAATGATGACATAGTCCTTTTCGTTATCATTTTCGTAAGGTTGCGAAACCTCCCTCTTGTCAACCCAAAGCCTAGAATCAACTCTCATGGCTGCATGTTGCCAATCTCTACAAGGAAGATAATTAAACTTATAGGTGCACCTCACATTAACAAGATGTACCAGTTAGTAAAATAAACACAATGTTTAAAATGATGAATTCCTTCTTTGCTTTTTGAGTTCAATTGAGCCTTTTAGTGGCTTCCTTTTCAAAATTTATATTTGCCCAGTGAGCATCGCCCATGTTGACTGTACACCACTAAAAAATTGTTTTAAACATTTCAAAATTATGAATGTAAAAAAATTCTCCACAGTGGGGGATTCAATGGGGACCCAGCTGCCACCCTACCAGCTAATTTCTTTTATTATAAAAAATGGAGAAAAAAATTATATTCAAATTTAAAGTCTGAGAGTACAATCATAAATTTTCTTACCTCAGCCCTAACTACGGTAGGGCTGAGGTGGTATTAACACCCTATCTGTAGAAGTCCTTCCCAGGGCCCCCTCTATTTCAAATCACTAGATCAGTCATTCATCCATACTATAAAATTGAACATTCAGCACACAATATTAAAAAACCTTGTATACATTTTTAAGCTAAAAAAAATCAAAAGCTATTTTTTACTACTAATTTGTGTTCGACTTAGTCGACGTTGATGACACATGATGTGACAATATCATTTTGGTATGACAATATATGCCTTGGGTCACCACAGAATGTGCATTCTGAAAGTTGGTAGCTATTAAACGAGAGCATCAATCATGCAATAGCCTACTTGACAATAGCTGGCAATGTTTAAGTGCTGTTAGTGAGTGGAGGTTGTGTGGAGTGTTGTTACATGTATTGAGCATAAAAAAAATGTTTAAAGTTATAGTAGTTGTATGCATCATCACAGACCTTTTTTGTTATGTTCACATAACAGTTAGAAAAGGTGTGATGTCGTGTACAGTGATATTAAGGGAAATATGGTTGTTGTAGGGGTTGTTGTGTACGTATGTTTTTGAAATATTTTGTACTGTAATTATGAAGATATATATGTAGCGGTTTATGATTTAAGTAGACAGTTTGGTGAGTAAATGGAATTTGTTACATAGAAGTAATTCATTGTGAAGAAATATATTTTTCCAAATGCGCATTATAATTACGTATATCATTTATCTTTGTTTGTTAGTTAAACATGCAGCTTTGTTTAAGAATAGCTAAATAACTTCTTGGCTGATGTCAGATCTTGATGTATGTATA